TGGAAGTTTCCAAGACTTGACGATTATTCTGCCACAGATCACGATACGGAAATCTCCCCATCTTGCCTGGAAAACATTAATGAAAAATAGTGTAAATTTAATTTGTTAAAATAAAGTTACTTTGTTTACTCAATGAACTAAGCTGATAGATAACATATCTAATCAATAATGAAATACTCAGTTTATCTTGTAAAATTTTAAAACTATTATTTTCCTTTCAATTTAAAAAAAAATAAAAATTTCACAATTATTTTTGAAAGAGAATTTGTTTCAAAGAACTTACATATGACTTACATGAATTATTTTGCAATCCTAATAGCTTTTGTGTGTTTCATATTATTGAAAACCATATTTTAACAAAAGAAAAGAAATAAATTGTTTTGAAAAACCAATTCTTTGAAGTCTCTATCCTATTTTTGATTTAAAATTGAATTGCAAATAATTTTTAATTTAAAATTGAATTTATTTAAAATGGATTATATTTTAATGCAAACTTTGAAAGTTTGATGTGTAGCAATATTTTGCGAATTTTAAAAGTTAAATTTTGCATTTTTCTTTTTATTTAAAAAGGAAATGCTAATATGGTTATCCTATAATTTAACATTTTTAATTAAATAGCCCTAAGTGGTAAGAATGTGATGAAAATCAAAGTATCAAGCTCTGTACTAAACATTAAACAAGTTCAATTGCTTACATAATAAACTGATAATTAAATTATGTAAGTTTTTGCATAATAAACTGAAAATGATATGCATTTGTGCTAGTTGTATGTGAAATATTGTTTGTTTTTGTTGATTAAAAAAACTTTATTGTTATGCAGGTCAATATCATACAATTGAAGTACGGAATATAACATTTTCCACAGACCAATTTGATACAGAGCTGATAAAATATGAATTTGATTTGAAAAATTCATCAATAATGGAAAATAATTCTACTAACACTTCTACTTCTCTTGTCACAGAAGATGCAGGTAAGCTAATTATTATTTATTTTGTGAATAGCTAACAAAAATTATGGTATTGACTTGTTATAAACTTGTAAATCAGGAATTATTTCTATATCTGAAATTGACGCCCGGTGGCTGAGCGGTAGCGCCTCGCGCTGTCGTGCCACAGGTCCCTGGTTCGATCCTCGGGCCGGGCAAGGTTGACTCAGCCTTTCATCCCTTCAGTGGATCGATAAATGAGTACCAAGCATGTTTGGGAACTAAGGGGTTTCGCGTTCGGCTGACCACCTAACTGGAACATCTGCTCCTGCTCCCCAGAGCCCAAAGGTCAAGAAAACTGAGATGGGCACATTAGGCCTTGGCTCTCCATGGGCTGTTGCGCCGCTGAGTTTAGAAATTGAAATTAGCATGTAAAGGAACTTTTTTTGACCTACTTGTCCTTTTTGCCTCTACTAGTCCAGAGATGTCGGCCAGCTGTTACAGTTAATCTCTAATTATTGTAGCGTTATAGTCATCAATATACCAAAAAATTATTATTTTTTAAATACAGTAGGGAATCGATTATCCGGAACGGTCGAGACTATCTCTATTCCGGATAACTGATTTTTCCGGTTTTCTGAATCGCTACAAAAAGCCGTTTTTTTTTTGTTAAACCCAACTACAAAAAAAAAAAAATTTGGGGGAATAATCTTAAAAATAAGAAAAAACGATGAAGTAATACACTAATGATTATTTCCAAAATGATGGTAAGGTAAACAAAAAAGAAAGAAAAATCCTAAAATCTTATGAGGGAAAAAAAAATGTTTTTTTTTTAAAAAATGGCGGGAAAATTTATTGAATTTCGTTACGGTATTTTTGGTTTTCCGGATAACGGGTTCTGTACTGTACTCAGGGGTAGCATTCCCCCTAAAATTCATAAAATTCCTAAAACTATGTGCAAACCCTAAAATTCCTAAAAATCTGATAAAATTTTGTTGGTGTTCCTAAAAAATTAGAGTTATAGGCTAAATATAAATAAAAAAGCAATAATCTAAAATATAAGAATTTAACTACATTATTTAAAACTGTTTTAATTTTGCCACATGGGAATTCTGATCCTGAGAGAGGTTTTTCGATAAATAAAGCAATGCTTAATGTGAGTCACCATGAGAATACTATTATGTCTCTTAGACTAATCAAAGATACCATTCGAAATTATGGAGGAGTGTTGAAGATCACCACAACACTATTGAGGGCAGTAAAAGAATCTCACAAATCATATCAAGAATATTTTAGAAAAATGATCATGATTAATTTGTTTTTCTCTAACTTCTAATATAAATTGCTGATTTGAAATCTAATAATATCACACTATAGTTTTTCTTAATAAAGTAAGGTAAAGGGTAATAATAAAGTTTTGATTAAGAAGGTAAAAATTAAATAAAAATCCAAGTTGGTGTTAATTTATTTTTTCTCTTGATTTATTCTCACTTTTGCCTGTTCCTGAATTATGCACTTAATTTCTGATAGGTAATATGTAAAGTTGAAATTTCATTTTTACACTTTAGAGATTTCATTCTTGACTTAATAAATTTCAGAGCTTTATTTTATGGCTTGCAATTATTTATGATATGTGTGGATGAATTGTAATAATCTTCTGTTATGTAATAAACTACCGTGTGATCTGTTTTTATCCTAGCAAAATCATATATTACCCCTAAAATTTGTTGAAAAAAGTTCCTAAAATGACCCTAAAATTTTAAAAAACTTTGCTGCTACCCCTGTGTACTTTCTAGTTAAAAAGATATTTTATTACATATTAAAATATCAGATTTCACTGGGATTGAGATGTTGCTCGGAAGTAATTTCACTTTCAATTTGAAAAAATGAAAGGCTATTTTGTTTCAGTAAATAAATATTTTATTGTCCGTTCTGGTCCATTACTGTTTGCCATCTTTCTAGTAGTAGCTGTCTCTATTGGCAAAATACTGATCAAGGTGATTTTTTATCTCCTTATTTATAGTACAGATTTTACCGTCTAAATTTTTTTTAAGAAACAAGAATGTTGTTTTAGATATTCCATTTCTTGTCTCTAGTGATGATACGCTTCAAAAATGGATATTATCTTGGTGTTTGAGAATAAAATTGCAGTCGTCAACATGACACAAATTTCTTTCTGTAAATTTAATGTCTTAGTAATCTCACCGGCTGTTATTCGCCGGTTTGCATCAATTAATACTTTTATTGTGTCTTCATTAGTTTAAATAAGTGTGGTGCATCTTAATCGAAATTTTAAAAACAAATCAGTTTTGATTATGGCATACTGCCAATACACCTTCGCCATACAGATAGAAGGATTTTTTTTCTTTCTTTTTTTTGCTTGAGTAGCATTTTAATCTTTTTCGTGTTAAAAAAGTAAAATATGCTGAAAATTATGTTTTTCTTTGTCCATATTCGAAATTTCGCCAACTGAAAACTACTGCGAAGAATCAAACTTTTTCACAAGTAAACGTTACTATATCAGCTGTTAAAATATAGTTGATTATGCGGCTAAAGTACAAAATTGGTTTTGAAAAATAGAATTAAATCCTCTGCTGGGAAAAAGTGAAATCACTTTCCGAACTACCCAATATTAATATAATGTTTTTTTTTTTTTGCATTTGCTTATGCTTACTATTTTTTTAAAAATTTTTTGCAGAAAAGGAAGATGAAACAATTGAGAATAATGTTAACCAAATGAAAATAGAAGAATATCAGTTGAAAATAAAAGTACTGCAACATCAGCTTCAGTTTCTTAAAGAAAAGCACATTGAAGACTTAAAAGAAATGAAAGAACTCCATGGCTTGAAAATTGCACTCGTCTCGAAGCAGCTTAAATTTGTTGAAGATAAGCAAAATGCTGAAATAAATGAATTGAAAAAACTACAGTCCATAAAAATAAAAAATGCATTGAAAAAGCATTTTTAATGTATTACTGTCATTTCAAATAAAATCTTGTGATCACTATTTAGTTTTATTGCAATTGTACTAAAAGATATTGAATAACAATCAACAGTAAATAAGTAATTGCATTTATGTGTAAAAAAAAATAGAAAATTCAACTATGCAGGTAGCTGTTAGAAAAATTTGTTTCGTTTATTCCCTTGCATTCTTAAATGTTATAAAACTATTTTTTCTTGGATTCATTAAAAACGTCATAACCTGTTTCTAATAATACATATTTGTTTTTGGAATTCTTGATTTTTTTTTTTTTTTGCATTATTGTAGTAAACTATTATGTACTGAACTAAAAATTATAATTCCAGATTTTACATAAGTAGCATGAGAAATTTGTTTGCAAAATATATGAGTATAAATACGTTATTGTTTTGTATAAAGATTTCTTGCAATACAGTCGAACTCGTATATAACGAGCACAAAGGGATCGTAACATGTACTCATTAAATCCGAGTACTCGTAATAAACGGGTCCTTAAGGCAGGCGTGCAACCAGAAGGGGGGTTGGGAGGTCAAATTATTGAGTTTACATAAAATTTAATTAATACTTACTTACGTTAATTAATTTAATTAAATACTTTTCTTAATTTAATGACAACTATCCCCCCCCCAACCAGCAAAAAATTTCTTGTTGCGCTACAGTCTTAAAGGAAAGAAGCAATAAACGGAAAGAAAAATAAAGGAAAAGATTCTTACCAAAACATTTATTTTTTTCATTAATCTACATATTTAAAATAGTAGTTTGTTAGCTTACTTTGAAGTTTCAGTTCGCGGTTTTTTTTTATTTCCCGCGCATTTCTTATCATTTTGAAAAAAAGATTGCAAGACAGAAAAATATTGCTCACTAAAACCGGGTTTTGCTCGTTAAAAGCGACTTCTGTTCCATAGACTTAACATTCATCCAACCAAATATTCTCGTTTCCCTCGTTATAAACGAGTTCGACTGTATTTTGTTTTTACATTGTTATAAACGAGTTCGACTGTATTTTGTTTTTACATTGTTATAAACGAGTTCGACTGTATTTTGTTTTTACATTCACTGCTATTCTCATGCTTAGTGCTTTCTCTTTTTCCAGTGGATTACCTATGGCTCTATATTCTGCTTCCTACTATTGCTATGGTGGCACTTCTTGGTCTCTTACTCGGTTTATGGTGTGTTCGCAGACGCACTAAACCTTCACCAAAGCCCCCTATGAAGAATGCCAAGTCACCTGCTCGCCCAGTAAGCCATCCAGGTCCGCACCAACAAATGGAAATGAAAGCACTCATACCACGAGCTAACTTACGAGTACCTGAAGTACCTTTGAACTCTATTCGGTTCCTACAAGAACTTGGTGAAGGAGCTTTTGGCAAGGTGTACTGTGGTGAATTATTGAGCTTGCATGGTAATGGCACTATTACTGCTGTAGCCATTAAGACATTAAAGGAGAATGCTACACTAAAGACTCAGCAAGATTTCCAAAGGGAAGCTGAACTGATGTCTGATTTGCACCACCCGAATATAGTGTGTCTTTTGGGAGTTTGCATGCGAGAAGAACCTATGTGTATGCTGTTTGAGTATATGTCTCAAGGAGATTTGCACGAATATTTGATTTTGCACTCTCCTAGGTCCGATGTGTCTGCTAGCAGTGAAGACGGTACACCAAGAATATTAGAACTTCCCGACTTCTTGCACATTGCAAAGCAGATTGCAGCTGGTATGGACTATCTGTCCGGAAACCATTACGTGCACAGAGATTTGGCTGCTAGGAATTGTTTGGTCAGTGATAATTTGACTGTAAAAATCTCCGATTTTGGCTTGTCCCGTGATATATATTCTTCTGATTATTACAGAGTTCAATCAAAATCTCTTTTGCCCGTAAGATGGATGCCTATCGAGTCTATATTGTACGGGAAGTTTTCTACTGAGAGCGATGTTTGGTCGTTTGGAGTTGTTTTGTGGGAAATATTCAGCTATGGCTTGCAGCCCTATTATGGCTACAATAACCAGGAAGTTATCGATATGATTCGGTCACGCCAGCTATTACCTTGTCCTGAAGATTGCCCGGCTCATATATATGCATTGATGGTTGAGTGCTGGCACGAAATTCCTCCTCGAAGACCTACCTTCAAGGAGCTTCATACACGCCTTTCCTCTTGGTTAGATATTCTGGAACTATCCAGAAATTCGAGAGATCACTCGAGGACTATTAGCACAGCTCATTCAACCAGCACAGCACAAAATGGAAGTCAGCACAGCAGCACAGGGCCTAGCAATAATACAGGCTCTACCAACATGACAAATATTAGCACTGCTACTGTTCCATCAACAGGTATTCATGTTCCTGTTTTTCCCCAAGCAATATTCTCTAATGCTGGAAATAATATACTTCAACAGAAACTTGCCAATAACCACCACTTAGTTCACGGTCCTCACATCTTATCAAATCCACTCCCCAACGATCAGCTGAGTGTGATGTCACTTCCAAGGCCGACAACACCCAATATCAGGCAGCTACCACCTCAGATTATTCCTCCATATCACATGTCCGACGGGAAAATATCAAAAGTGTAACCTCTCGGGGCTTTTAGAGAAAGTGATCAAATTTAAACTATGCGTTTTTCCGGTGAAAGGAAAAACTAAAACAAGGTTGTAAAATAACTTTAGGTTAATCTTGGCTGTTTCTCTGGCCAGATGGAACATTTGTTCGAGAGTTAAATAGCTTCAAACCAAAGTTGAGTGAAGTTGCTGGCAACACAATGCTGGAAGCTCGAAAGTTGCTAAAAGAATTCAAATAGATAATGATTTTTTTACTTCTGACCAACTGAGAGCTTTATTTTGCAAAGTTTTTACTCAGAGCTTGTACTCTATGTTACTTAGTCCAATACACGGTTGAAAGCGGCTAAATGGGTTTGTTTTTAAGTGGTACGTCTGTTTACTGCAATTACTACCATTTTAAAGTCAAGTGAATGAAGATCCAACTTATTTAGGTGTTTTTACATGTAAAAATTGTGCTTTAATGAAATTTTAAATGTGCTTCAAAATATCTAGACATGGAAATGGATTTTGCCTTGTTTTAATAGAAGAGAGTATAAATCTGAAAAATAGAGATTGCATTTGAAGTAAAAATAATAATAGCCAGCTGTGGAAAGTATAGTTTAGATCTATCCGTGTGAAGATTCACCAATCTTCAATGAAGTTAGCAGCCAATGGTTGAAAAGAATAGCTGTAAACTTGTAAATAGGTTATTCTCTTGCAAAAAAAGTATGCATTTAGTCCAAAACAAATTTTTAAAATTCATTAAAACAATTTCATACTGTTGCTAATTACAGCTGTGCCAACTTAGGTTTTATTTTTTGTTACTGAGAATTTTAAAATTTAGGAATTATAAATTATATTTAAGTCAAAAAGACTTGTACTTAAGTTTTCATTTTTTTGTAGGATAAAATAAATTAATAAGTCGTAACATCAAACCTCATTAAAATAGTTTTTATTTACAAATCAAAGAATAATTTTAGATGTAAACATAAGCTTTTGCCATGTATTAGTTTAGACATTATGTTCCAAAATTAACACATTAATTAAGAATAATTTTAATAGCTGAATCAAAACATCTATAATGGAGAGAGAAAAATTGTTAAATTTGATATTTTGAAACATATTGCTGTTCAGTTTTATGTAAATTCTTAATCTAATGTCAAATTTAATTGTGAGCACGTTTAACTACGACCTTGGGTGGTTAAATTCTCAATTTGTGTAGCTGGTCTACTCAATAATTAACATAATATCGTTCACTTAGTTATATTTTACATAAATTCTTAATGCTCATTTCAGAATATTTAATTTCAAGTTTATTTCTGAACATGCTACAAGTCTACCAATCTAAGTTGAATTCCGGTTATGTGTTGCTGTCTATTTTATGATTCTCTCTTTTAAAGTCAATATACATTAAAACCAATTTCCTTTTCTTTTTTTAAATACATTTTAATGTCACGTTTTTGCTCATCTTTAGACCTCTATATAAGTCACAAAAACAAGGTTGACTTTTTGTGTCGTCAATCAATGAATTTTTGTGTCATCAATCAATCAATGAATTTTTTGTGTCATCAATCAATTAAATTTAATCAACTAGAATTTTGATTAATTTTTCTGCTTCAATTGAGATATAAAATTTTTATTTCATTGTAATTGTGAACATATTTTTAATATTTCATTTCAATGTAGCTGCAAAGTTACTTGTGTTCAATTTGCATGTGAATTCATTTTTTATCAATTGTTAATGAAACTCAGCTCATTTTTTTTTATCAATTTTTAATATGAAACTGTGAGCTCTTTTTTTTTTTTTTTTTTNTTTTTTTTTTTTTTTTTTTTTTTTTTTTTTTTTTTTTTTTTTTTTTTTTTTTTGTTATTCCATTGAAAAGTGAACTCATTTTTTATCAATTTGTAATGAAACTGTGAGCTCTCTTTTTTTTATTATTATTATTATTCCATTAAAGAGTGAACCTCATTTTTTTATCAATTTTTAATGAAACTGTGAGCTCTTTTTTTATATTATTTCATTGAAGAGTGATCTAATTTTTTATATATTTTTTTTAATTAGAATGAAGTTTTGGTTTTATTTTTAACATATATTTGTTTTAATGAAGCCGTGAAATATTGGCCAATTTTTATTAAATCTACCGAAAGTTGGCATACTGTAAGTCACATTTCATCGACATGTCTAGTCCATCAAGTAAAGAGGAAATTATCAAAATTTTATGAATACCATGTTCAAATATTTTTATACAGTTTTTATAAAAATAAGAATTATTTTTTGTATATCTTAGGACTGAAATTATAAAATGTTAGAATATTAGATTCTGGGCTCTCTGCAAGGCATATCCATTTTCATCCATACCATTGGATAAAATACCATTTTTATCCATACCATTGGATAAAATACCATATTTATCCATACCATTGGATAAAATACCATTTTTATCCATACCATTGGATATAATAAGTATGAAATGTACTTTTTTTGTATCTTGTACAGAGATGTAATTATTATGTATATATCTTTATTTTATATTTATTTATAAATTGTTTTATTTGAATGCTGGTGGCACTAAATTTAGATGCCATGGTTTTATCACTGCCATTCTCGTTGAAGAACATCAGGTTTTAAGTGTTTTCAAATCATTTCTTTTAAGTGACATCAGTGCCATTATTAATAATTAAATCATATGATCAGTACTCAAATAGTTATGAAAATTTTTTTGTTTTTAAATGTCATCAGTGCCATTATGTAAAAAAAAAATTACTCTAACAGAAATTACAATTTTTGCTTTTTCTTGTTTTTGAATCATTTCTTTAAATCATATTAATTAAAAAATACATTTAGATATAATTATTTGTCAATTTTACCTTTTTTTTTTACATTATTTCTTAAAGGTTATCCAAATGCCGTCATTAATTAAAATTTCACATATCAGTGCTCAAATAAATATGTCAATTTTAGTTTTTCTTTCTTTTTTTTTAAGGTTTACTTCTGTTGTTTTCATTATACTATATATATTTATTAAATTGTCTTTTATATATGAAATGATTATTTTAAATTAATGTGATTTCTAATTTTAATATTTTTTCCAGATGAGTTTTAAGTATTTTTCTTGATTTTTAAATTAGAACAATGAATTTCACAACAATGAATTAATTTTACTACAATGAATTAATTTTAAACAATGAATCAATTTTACAACAGTGAATTTTTAAATTGCAACAATGAAATGCTGTTATTAAATAAAATTCCACATGATCAGTACTCAAATAAGTATGCCAATTTTAGTTTTTCTTTTTTTAAGATATACTTCTGTTTTCATTATACTATATATATATTTACTTTTTTTTTAATTGATATTTTAACAGTATCTTGACAATTTTAAATTGTCTTTTATATATGAAACGATTAGTTTAAATTAGTGTGATTTCTAATTTAAAATTTTTTTCAGATGAGTTTTAAGTATTTTTCTTGATTTTAAAATTACAAAATGAATTTCACAACAATGAATTAATTTTTAACAGTGAATCAATTTTACAACAATGAAATGCTGTTACTAATTAAAATTTCACATGATCAGTACTCAAATAAGTATGTCAATTTTAGTTTTTCTTTCTTTCTTTTTTTCAAGTTTACTTCTGTTGTTTTAATTATACCATATATATTTACTTTTTTTTAATTGATGTTTTAACAGTATCTTGACGATTTTAAATTGTCTTTTATATACGAAATGATTATTTTAAATTAATGTGATTTCTAATTTTAATATTTTTTCCAGATCTGTTTTAAGTGTTAAAACAGAAAAATTTTAGTTAAAAATTCAGTTAAAATTTAGAAATTTCATATTTTAAGTTTTTCCATAGGAAATGGGAGATTCTAATTCCATAACGCCAACTTTCTTTTATAAGTGGAATTTTCATAGTGTTATCAGTAGGTTTCATAATAAAATTGAGTTTCTTTACCACTTGAAATTGTTCTTTAAATGGCACCAGGGTTTTTAAAAATCTAATTTTCATTTAAATTTTATTTTCTTGATATATCTCTCGATTCAATTTGACTTCATATTACTTACGGTATTAATGTCATTATAGTGGCTAAAAAATGCCACTATACTAGTCATTATTAAAAATGACTAGTATAGTGGCATTTTTTTTTAAATCTTTTTTTTATTTTAATTTTTAAAATACATACTTCTGCTTCATTTTTCTTCATTAATGTTTCAAAAATATCTTAATATCTAATTTTTTTTTTCTTCTGGTTATGTGAGAATTTGAACTGATTATTTAGTTATAGCAGCTCCATTATTAGTTTAAAAAATATATATTACCTTTTTATATTTTTTCTACAATCATGTCATCTAATTTTCTTTGCATTTCTACTAAAATTCAACATACTTCAGTTTTTTTATTCATTTTTATGTGTATTTTGAAAGTAATTTGTATTTAATTTTTTTAAATATAAATTTTAAAAGAAGCTATTAAGTTACTTCTATTATTTTTTTACAACCCTTTGTTATTGATGCATGTACTAAAATTCCGCCAACTTTGTATTTACAAATTGTCCTGTTCGTTGAAGTTAATAATTTTTCTGTTACTTCTAAAAAGCATGAAATTATCTGATTTCCGACATTTTCGTTGCTTTGAGTTTTAAATAATTATCTTTGTTTTACCGTATCAAATAAAATATTTATCCCTTATAATGTTTTTGAAACAAGGGTCAATATTTTTTAATTGGAATAAAAAAGATTATATTCAATATTTGAAAGAAAAAAAACTAATTAGAAAATATTGTAGTTAAGTATCTAAAATTTAATACCATCAGCTACAGCTTTTTTAAAATGTATTTTTTACAAAGCTTTCTATTATAATGTTTGATTAGATTACAACACTATTCTTTTGTGTACATTGCTGTTATGTTTTTTGAATGTTTCTGATAAATTTATTGAGAGCTTGAACAGTAACTTTTTGGGCTTGTGAATTGTTAATGTTTGTGAAGTATGCCATTAAATTAGTAAATACAACTCTTTTGTATATATTTGGAATTTTTACAGTTGCTTATCCTCTCATTTTTCCACTTCCAAATTTTTATGCACTAAACTAATATCTAAAACAAATTGATGTGAAAATTAAATCATATCATGCATTAAAAATACTTGTATAAGTATTTTGAAAATAGTTCTAATTATTTTATTAATTCAAGTTTTTTATTAATTTTGTATGATTAATATATGTTTTTTTTTTAATTTAGACATAGCATTTTTAAAATATTTTTTGAGATATTTTACTTTTTGTTGTTGTTCAATGAGGCTTAAGTCTATGATCTCTAAGAAAGAAATGAGGTATAGTTTGTCTAAACTAAGAACTCCTCCCGCCACAAAGTCTGAGGCTGTCTGGTGCTATGGAAACAAGAATGGCTCATTTTAGGGAGGGTAGCTTCACTCTAGCACTAACACAATAGAACGAAGAAAGATATTCCCTTTCTCTCATCGACCGGAACCGAAACCACTAAAAAACAGTGTCCCTGCACCTCTATTTTAAATAGTCATACCTCGTTACCATAGGTCCAGGCNATATATGTTTTTTTTTTAATTTAGACATAGCATTTTTAAAATATTTTTTGAGATATTTTACTTTTTGTTGTTGTTCAATGAGGCTTAAGTCTATGATCTCTAAGAAAGAAATGAGGTATAGTTTGTCTAAACTAAGAACTCCTCCCGCCACAAAGTCTGAGGCTGTCTGGTGCTATGGAAACAAGAATGGCTCATTTTAGGGAGGGTAGCTTCACTCTAGAACTAACACAATAGACCGAAGAAAGATATTCCCCTTCTCTCGTCGACCGGAACTGAAACCACTCTAAAACAGTGTCCCCGCACCCCTATTTGAAATAGTCATACCTCGTTACCATAGTCACCGCCATAGGTCCAGACGAATGTCTGGGGGAGTTCTTATTTTAGACGAACTGTAGTTGTTTTTGTGAATAATTTTAAGTTATTGTTAATAGCCTATGACTAAAAGATTAAAATTGTATTATAAGAATAATAAGATAAACTCTTAATTGTTCTTGAATAATAATTTCAAATTATAAGATAATTTGAATGTGTTATTTTATTTATTCATTTAGAATTAATCTGCTTAAGTAATATGTAAAAGTTTGAAAACTTTCACACGCCATTTACATATATGAACAGCTAAAAATTATATAGTCCTTGGCAATAGTCTGAGTGCACCTGTTCTTCCAGAAATTTCGAGCAGGAAAACATTCAAAATTATGTTTATTGGTCTTGTTTTCAAAATAGACAACATTGTTAACACAGTGGAACCTCTCGGGAGCGACCACTCTCTGTTTCGCAGTAAAATGGTTGTTAATGGAGGTTGGTCGTTT